CAAATGCATTCCACAGTGCCTTAGCTGGCCGACCATTTAGATCACATACATCATCCAGATCAGCTGTTAGTATTCAGTCAAAAAGTCAACATTCAGTTAGTGCTGGCTTCTGTAAAGTCTTTAGATATACCTGATGAATGAAAAATATGGAAGGTGGCAGGGACAAGGAAGGGGCAGGAGAGGGTTAGACGTTAGGGGAGGGGTAGGGCGCTCCAGGACTCACAGATCCACACTTTGAGAGTGTACGACAGCTCTAAAAGGTACAAAAAAAAAAAAAAAAAATCCGGTGATGCCATAAAAGAGTACAAGGGGAGAAAAAAGGTATGAAAACATAGATGAAAGTGGAGGTCATGATCTAAATCACCCTTGGCCAGCTGGGTTTCCTGAAACATGAGCTTGTATACTGACATAAATCACTCTACATAAAGGACCATATGACATTTTCACTTTGCCACCTTTGAGCTTGATGACTCATCATACTCGAAGGCTAATCAGGTAACCAGCTAGAAAATATATCCACATCGTACTTTTTATTTCTTGATCCTAAATTACAACACTTGAATCTTAGGTGGAAATCTCTTAATATGGTGAATCTCACGAAATGTATAATTTTATCCAAAAATGCAATGACCAAACTCTGGATCTCTTTTTACATTGCAAAGCTAAAGAAAAAAAGATGGATGGATGGATGGATGGATAGATAGATAGATAATTTTTTTACAATGCAAAACTGAAGAATATAGAAAAAAAAGACATGATTTTCTTTTTTAATAACTTTTTAATAACTTTTTCTTTTGATTATGGGGGATGAGTCTGTCTGGTTCTCACCTTCAGCACCTGCTCTAGGTTCTCCAGTTTGCCTTGGAGCTCAGTCCTCTCCAACAGAGCGCAATCTCTTTCCACTGTCACAGTGTACAGAGCCTCCTGCAGCTGTTCATATTCACTTTTCACCTTATAGAGAGAGAGAGAGAGAGAGAGAGAGAGAGAGAGAGAGAGAGAGAGAGAGAGAGAGAGAGAGAGAGAGAGAGAGAGAGAGAGAGAGAGAGAGAGAGAGATTAATCAAGAATATCTTCAGGCTTACACGGTTTCCCTTCTGACCTCTGTTAGAAAAGTGGAAGAAAAAAAAAAAACATGTCTGAGATATGGCCTACTGGTTTGTGCACGTGTTTGACAGACTAGTGCTCATGCAAATGGCAGGTTTGAATTCAGTTTAAATCATCTCTAGGCCCTGTTCCACCATTATATTCCGGCTCTTTTTACATTTAATAAAACATGTAAGTGTGATTTTACAAGGGTACAAGAAAAAAGATAATTTAGTTTACCAACTACTGAAAGTTTAAGATAGTAGTTGTGAGCATCAAACTGCAGTGGTTGTCTTTGGATCTGCAGTGGGGTAGAGGAAGGTTGTGAATGAATAACACCATCTGGATGCATGTGGCCACAAGGCTACTAAGCGAAATCGTTCAACAATCTATAAACCTCTAGCATATGATACTCTTAGGGTCTGAGAGGGCAACTCTAGACACTTGTATCCTGACCAGCACATCTGCTCCAATGTTTTTATTTATTTATTTTTTTTTTTCAGTTCATGTTGCCACAGTTGCGAAGTACTACTATTTCACAAACAGCCATATAGAATATACAATTTAGTCAAACAAAACTAAAATTTATATTTTAACAACAGTATTAATATTACCAAAAGAACAATTAACCTGATTCTTTTTTTTGTAATTCAACTTTTTTTATTGTTCAACAGTCAAAACAGAGTATATCACATTATTCAGTAATCACCTTTGCAATTACACACTCCGCCACTAGTCCCCATCAGTGGAACACAACCAAAACAAAAGCACATGAAAATTAAACTGATTCTTGTCATACATTTTTTTTAAAAATTCTGAAAATATTTTTCAAAAGTAGTTTGTTTCTTTGTGGAAAATGTTTGAAATGAGAAAAGATTACTTTGTACACCTTTAAAATAAAAATTCACACCAAAGATGTAAAGTACATCAAAAATGACTATTTTAAAATATGATATCACAATATTATAATTCTATAAATATATAATACATGTGATAATAATAACATTACATCTCCACTGTACATCATATGAAAGTGTTTCTTCAAATAATTACATTTTGCTATTAAATACCATACTTTGATCCTTTAAAAAATGATATTTTCTGTTTGTTTGCACTCACTTTTATGCAATAAATAGAGCATGTGTAGTCAGCATTGAGCTCTGGGGTGAGAGTCGTGTATTTAGAGACCGAGAGCAGAGGGGTTGACGTCCTGTATCGATCGCAGCTTCAGTCATGATAAAAAGCTGAGCTGACAGAGTCAGAGGTAGCAAGTACACACTCCACGCCTGTCCAATCTGACACTCATCTCTTATCTGCAACTTGAACCACACACACGTACTGAAACACCAATTACAGCTGAATATGCTTGTTCTAGAGGTAAAGTGTTTGACCTATTACACTTGTATAGATGTTTCTTATGACATTCAACCGGCATGTCCTGGATGGCCATAGTGGTGTTGGGCAAAAGACACTCAAGTACAAATTAAACTGAAAATGATGTCTAAACTGACCATATTTTTTGTGAGTAAAAAAATAAGTTTTTATAATTTTTCATGAAAATGTAATAACTTTGTTCACATTTGAAACAACATTTTATTCTTGGATAACCAAAGCATGAGGGCAGGTAAAATATATATATATATATATATATATTAACCAATAATATCAAAAGTGCAACATTTCATAATCCAACTATATATGACTAAAGTTCTACTCTATTATTTTTCAACATGCTCTGAATGTTGTTTCATATGTTTAAGGTGGTGTGCCATTATAGTAGCCTGGCTGCGCCCGCCTACGCACTTCCGCTCAATTTCATTTTCCTTCAGTACTGCGTCTGGGACCGCTCCATATCCTTAGGTTTCCAGAAATCAATTTTTTGTAGGACCAATCAGCGAATAGAGGGAGTGGCTGAGAACGATGACGTTGATGTAGTGCGTCAGTTTGAGTGCAGTAATGGCAGCGGAGAAAGACGTGAGAAAAGCTATTCGGTCCGTTGTTGGAAAAGAAACTGCCGAATATACAGAATTTAAAGCCGGATTGTTATCATCTCACCTCTTGTTGCACAACGGAGGACCAAGTGAAAGAGGCAGAAAGGTTGGAAGTTTGTGCTGGGCAGCTCGTGCACGCACAATGACCGTGACATTTTGGACTTTAGCCTGGTGTTCGCGGTGTTCGGAAGCCCCGAGTCCTGGCTGCTAAACTATTGTCGAAGATCCGCTCAGGAGTCATGTCAGTCGCTCAGATTCCCAACAGTAAATTTACTGATTCTTGTGATGAATAGAACATTTTGAGCCCCTTTGTGCACTCGTACAGGAGGTTGGTGTGTCAGTTTTACATGTTGTAAATCATACAAATTGGTTGTGATTAAAAAAAAAAATTATAAATAAAAATTTGAAAACCCATACTTTGGAGACTATATTTGATTTTCAGTTTTAGATGTCAATGGTTAATTTGTTTTAATAAAAAAAAACAACTAAATGCCATATAAAAATGTACAAACACATACTTTGAAGACCATAATTAAGGTAATTAAGAAACAAAAATACGTAATATGAAAAATTGTTGTTTATTACACATCTGCAGACAGACTGATCATTCACTGTAACTTACAGCATTGACTGAATAATCACTGTCCTTCATGTCAAATATACATTTCGAATTAATAATTGTTCCTAGATTAACAAAACCTGCAGCTCTCGTTGACTGAAATCCTATTGTAAATTTAATCCTCTGATCATTCGGAGTTCGGACTTGTTGTTTCTTTTACTGTCTATGGTTGTTTCCAGCCGTTTCGGCGCATGACATACGTCACTCACGACCACACATTAGCGATTGGCTATGGCAGATCGTGAGTGACTCTGGGCAGATCCAATAGATTTGAACTTTAATAGTGAACCCGCCTACAAGGAAGGAAACGTTTCTCAATTGAGGGAGGCCAGACTCTCTGTACAAATGAAATGTATGTACGAGAGTCTGGTAGAACCAGGCTACCATTATAGGGCAGTATAATTACTTTGCCAAAATGTACATATTTTATTGTAGTTCTCTTACGAGAGGTTCTCTCGTACTGCATAATATCTTATGCAAGGGCAAACCCTCTTTTCCAGGAGATATTGAAGCCAAAAATTATCCTTAATTTTGAATAAATGTAAAAAGCGTTGCGGCAGCATGCAGACATAGGCAAAGGTGGCTCGCGTGCCTATTTGCTGTCCTGCGGCAACTACAGCAGCTTATCGAGAGTGGTGTCCAAAGGTGGGTGCTTCGCGCCCACTACATCACCACCAACTGAAGCGGGCGTGGCCTGGGCCTATAAATATAGCTCGATGGGCTGATATAATATGATTTTTCATCTCTTCAGAGAAACTCACGCACCGCCGGATTCGGAGTGAAGAAGCCGCGCCATCTGAGAAAAGCTTTCTGCAGGACGAGCCTTTGCATATGAAGCCACTGGCTTTTATCTCTGCGCCTTCAGTCGCCATACTTGCTATGCTTTCCGGCGTTTATATCATTTTTACTCTGCCGAGTGTGTGTTCGCCACTGTGACTCACACTCGCTCTCTCTATCTAAAAGAGCAGCATCTTTTTAAAGATGCCTTGTTCCTGAGGTTCGTGCCGAGCCGCACTCAGCGATGGGGTCCGCCATTTTTACTGCATTTCCTGCCTGGGTAGGGATCATGCAGCTCTCGCGCTCGCTGACGGTGGCTGCCATCACTGCGAGCTGTTGCCATGGTGACTCTCCTGACATTTTTTCTCAGAGTCTGCACTTCTGCCCGCTATAGTGCCATGCTGTAAAAAGCACCATACTCAGCGGGTCCTCCAGCCCATAAATGCTTGCTGGTTCGCCCACGAGCTTCACCAGCTTCACTCGAGTCGCTCACCAATGGACAACAGTCGCCGTTCGTTGCCGCTTCCACCATTAATGACGGCAGATAGCTGCATCTGCAGAGGAGGACAGCTGATCTATCCTGGCATCGGACAGTGAGGACTGGGCGAGCTCTGCGGACCTCTCCCCCTCTGCCCGCGAGTCATCAGTGAAATGGGCCAGCATCGAATTCGAGCTGATGCGTCTACTTTCACAGGCCATGGCGAGCCTCGGCCTTGAGTGGACGGCACCTGCACACAACCGACTGGATGGATGTTTCTTGCATAGGGACTGCGTACCTCTGTCTCAGCAGCATTCTTCGTGTTCGACGATGCTAAAGATAGAGGATAACACTATCTTCCTCCAGTAGAAGAAGCTGTAGAGACCTAGCCTGGGAAAACCCAGAAAACTTCCGGCAAATTTAGATTTGCTCTGAAAGTTAGTCTGGCAAAGAGCTCATTCAAGCCCATTTCCAATCCGTCGAAATCACGGCACCAATCAGAAACGTTGGGGCAGGCTTTTACACGATGACGACAGCACTGGGATTTTGAAGCAGATTTTGTAGCCTACATTAGTAGCCAACATCACTCATTCGAATCAGCTATCGTGTCTGTTTTAAGCGATTTGAACATTTCCTTATTGTTGAAAAACCGAGCAAAGAACAACACTCGGAGATGTTTCTCCGCCGGCTTCCGCTCTGCGTACGTCATCTCCTTCATCGCTCTGATTGGTTTTAGGTCTACCTGCGACGTCCGTTGGTGACGCCCCTCTGGAAATGATTTGTCTATGACGCTTTGCCAGACCAAAACTCAGTTACAACTGAGAATGGTGTGGTTTTAACCAGGCTAGTAGAGGCCCATCTTTGCCCGACTCTCTGCTGGACGGCGAGCTAAAACGGCGGTACATTCTAAAGCTGGCCACACTACTTCTGCTGTGCTCTTCTATGCCCTTTCAAAATCCACTGTACGGGCCATTGCGCAGGAACATTGCTTCTCTCACCGTTGGCTGACGTTGTCTGAGATACCGGACGCAGAGCGTTATGCGTTCCTCGACACGCCCATCTCCCCAGCTGGCCTCTTGGATCATCTGTCAAAGATTTCACAGTGCCGTCAAGCCCGGGAGCAGAGACCACGCTCTCGCTCTGCCGGCCGCCAACCCCCTCCGTGTGGGCCCCGGCAAAAGATTGAGATAAAAGCCTGAGGTCTCAAAGTCTTCCTAGCCCTCCTAGAAAAACAACGGTGTTTAAGTCTCGCCACGGCCAGACTTCCACCGAAACTTTTCGCTCGTTCAGTTTGAATTTGGCTGATTCTAGCTCGATCAAACTCAGAGCTCATTGAACACAGGACCATTTTACTCGAACATCTCGAGAATCTAGGTCTCAAAGTCAAAGTCTCCCAGTCAGAAAATATCTTTTCTGGGCACAGAACTGAACTCGCTGTCTATGACAGTGCGACTGTCACCAGATCGCAGACTGAACATTCAGCGCATCACAAAATCCGATCCGCTGTGGCACTATAGTCCTGCTAAAAAGGTTTCAGAAAATCCTGGGCCTCATGGCCTCAACATTATCAGTACTCCAGTTGGGTCTGTTTCCCATGCACCGGCTGCAGTTATGGCTAAAAGAGTAAGTACCACCTAGTGCAAGGGCCTCCAGTCTGTTTCGCCTAACGGTCGATCAGAAATGCCTCCCAGCTCTGAAACCTTGGAGAGCAATCAACTGGTACCAGTCAGGTGTAAAAAGTGTTGTCCACGGATGCCTCCACAGACGCCTTCACCTCGGGATGGAGAGTGCTGCTCGTGGGCAGACTTTGGCGAGTGGTCAGAACGGGAGAAACTCCTTCACATAAACTGGCAAGAAATTATGGCAGTCGACAACGTGCTGAGGCACTTTTGTCCCTGAATAAAAGGTCACCACGTCTTGGTCCACTCGGAAAACATGTCAGTGGTGGCCTACATACCGTAAAACTTCAAATAATAGCCCGGGCTTTTATTTCCCCAAATTGTAGAACTGCACCGGCTTGTATTTGAGACAGGCGTCTATATGCGACATTATAATTTAGTGTTGAGATGTTGTTCATTGAGTGTAGGCCTAGAGTCTCTAATCTCCAAATGCTCCACATGAAACTGCAGTCTTCCGACCTTATACTATCGTATCAACTGATTTTGATTAATATGCTCGTGGGAGAGAGAGAACAAGACAGCGCTAGTGTTGTTTGAGGACTTGAGAGTGCATGCGCGTGGCCGGGGCTCTCTCTCTCTGCTCGTTATGCGCCCTGTTAAGTGCAGCAGTTTCTATTCTACATCACTCACTGATCAAAAAAGACTTTGGCGGGACAAAAATTTGCTTTGGCGGCCGCCAAAAAGCGGACGATCTGACGGTTTGGAGAAGATAAAATACAACCCGAAACTAAAAAACATATCTTCTCCAGGGACCTACCTCTTAGGGGTTCTGCTTCCAGTGTCATTCACTTCCAGTTATTTTACCTGTACAAAAACAGTCTGTTATGCTGCTTTATATCGCAAACTTGTATTTGTTGTTATATTATTGTATGTTTAAATTTCCTATAGCGGCTAATGAATCGGAAGTCTCATATTAATAATTTAGGGGGGAGTTTTGTTTTTGATATTCACCAGACATTCTTTGAAGTACGAGTAAGGGAACACTATATACAATTTTCAACACTTGACAAGCTATAATCCTGGTTATGGGCTTTCCGTTGCCGACAGTCTCTGCCTACGGTTTACCAATAACAGCTGACTGGGTCATTTGACCAATCGCCGCAGATTCGCGTCACTCAAAGGAGGTGTTTGGGAAAATGAATCGTCGAACGAATCATTTGGGAGTCGTTGAGCAAATCGGGTAAAAATAAATGCATATTTAAAGTAAAGTAAAGTGTAAGACAAATAAAGTGTTTTTTTTAATCCTTGCATGCACGTTAAACTGTTTTTGGGAACTCCCAAAACAAAAATAGGAACATTTCAAATGCTATGATAGGGGCTCTTTCAAAGGTGCTACACCAGAAGACGTAACCAATGGAGCCCAGGAAGGCAGCATTTATTTGATCAAGCATACAGTAAAATATTTTAAACATTATTACAATTCAAAATAACTGTTTTCTATTTTAAAATTTAATTCTATTTTATTACATATTTATTGTAAAAATAATTATTCAGAAACCTTCAGAAATCATTATAATGTGCTGATTTGTTGCTCAATAAACATTTCTTATTATTATCAATGTTGAAAACCGATTTTGATGCTTAACACTACATACTGATCAAAAGGTAGGTGACAGTAAAAGACATTCATAATGTTATAAAAGATGTCTCATTCAAATTCTATTTCAAAAGCTGTTCTTCTGATTATCCTATTTTTCAAAGAATCCTGAAAATATTTATCATGATTTCCACAAAAATATCCATTCTACATAAAATCAGTGGTTTTTAACATTCATAATAATAATAATAATAATAATGACAGCCATTATTACTAATCGAGTAAAATTTGATTTAGCACCCCAAAAATGTGAGCAAAACATTTTATATTTATAGATCAGCTGTAAATCCAGACCTATAGTATAGAGTACTATAGAGTATACTAACGAAACATGACATTTAAATGGAACTGGTATTCAGCTTCTATTATTATTATTATTATTATTTTTACCTCTGTGGAAGAGTTCAGAAACTGCAGTGTTTGGTCACAAGAACTTAAGTGATGTGTAGTGCTGTGTATGTTGGTAATGTCTGTGTGATGGCCCATCAATACTGTGACAAACTAGCACTTGTAAACATGCTGCTGTTAAAGAATGTACTATAAGCCAGTTCCAGAGAGCAGTACTTCTTTACATTCACTATTCAGACCCTTGAAGAAAACTATCCAATTTATGCAAAGTTATGCACAAAGATCCACACCAAAATTGTCTTGTTCAACAATGTGTCTTAACTCTTGACACTGTAATAAAACGGGCCTTCAGGAAATTGCTTTTCCATGACAACATGCACAAACTCATAATTTAAGACCATCATCACAAGATCAACATCACAAGGGACATCAACTTCACTATCCAGGAAATTACATTTTTACCCCTTAAGGATCAACATACAGACCCATACAACTGATAGATTAGAAAATAACCAAAAATACATTGACAACAAGAGCTAAAAGGGAGAAGAAATGTGCCCTTTGACTCAGAAAAGTTCCATTGGGGGACCGCTGTTCTTACAGTAATTGGACTGAAGGTCTTGGAACAGGCTTATTGTTTCATTTACTAAAAGTTTTGCCATATTTTTTTATTTTTTTTCCATCACTAAAAAACAGTGGCACATTCCTATCCCCATACATTATTGTTTCCACTCAATAATGTCATGATAACAAGATATTATGTAATTTAAATGATTTATTTTCTCATAATAATGAGATAAGACCACCCAAGGCTCTTACTAAACGTTTCTGAATTATCATTTGCTACAATTTTTTAACTTTATACACGTTTGTTTTACACAATAGCATCTGACTGGCAACAATAGCAACTGACTGGCTACTAATGTTCTACTCAAACAGCGTTGGCAAGTTTACGTTTTTGATCAAATCGAAAATAACGTCATAAAAAATATATACATGAAAAATACATTTACAACATATAGTACTTATACAAAATTCAGGTCCATAATGTTTGTACGCGTTTGTCGTAGACACAAAATAGCATAACTAGTAGCCTAGTGGCTATAAAGCCAGCGCTGGCATTTGAAAAAAATAAAACACAAGGCTACGTCTGGAATTACATGCAAATACATTTAAAATGATTAAGTCTTAGCCTACTTACAGGTTGTGGCCCAAGAACTGCTGCCTCTGGTTTTAAAGTTGGAACTGCTTCATGTTTTAGTAACAGTTTCTTGTTGAATCCGGCATTGAATTCGTGGAGATTCTGGAAGCTGTTTTCAGTAAATGCGCAGCACAGAGAGCTAAATTACGATTGTCATTTTCAGGAACATAATCAAACATAAATTGTATCCATTCTTGACGAACTACAGCATCCGTGGGAAGCTCGAACACAGAAGACCTTACAGCTGGGTGAACATAACACACTCGACGTGCCGCAGAAATATGATCATGCCCTTTTCTGCATATTCCGGAGGGAGGGTTGATGTACATGTATGGATTAGTGATGTCTAAAACCCAGCTGTAGTCCCAATCGAGTCTTTTTGTAGGCATTATACTTCCTGATATATAAACGACGATATCTCTGCTTACACTAAACTTTCAGCGCTGCAACTTTGCAGATGCACCAACAGCAACATTACACACTATTTAAAATGAAAAAAGTGAAATCGCAGTCAACCCCCCCCTTTAAGTTTTGGAGGAATGGACTTGGGGGACGGAAATGGTTTTACAAAAAAAAAAATCTTAAAATGACATGACAGAATTTACATTTTTAGGTGAATTATACCATATAAATACAATAAACTCAGTCTTGAATAAAACTAAGTCTATATTGTAAATTATATCGCTTACATCACCGATACATATCGTTGCATTCCTGTATAGCGATATCTCGAAATAAAAATGTCTCTTTACACCACTAGATGTTATGTTGAGATGTTATGATGAAATATTTTCTCGTAATAATGACAAAATATACCTTCTGCCGAAGCCTGAACCAATAGCAGAAACCATAGCACAGGATTGTTGTGATTTATTGATTTGCAGTTCAATCAGACTTCATTTAAATCAGGGGTTCACAAACTACCCCTTATAAGGTAGAAAATCTTACAAAATATATCTATAAATATAAAATCTAATTTAAGATATTAAAAAAAACTATAACACTATATCAATGACACTGAATTAACACTGACTTGGAAATCTAAACCTCATATTATTTAATAAAATGCAGAGCAATTATCTGTCATGATAATCTGCCCATACCAGTACACATCTATAACACATGGAAAGGGACATTTATCAAATGATTAAATTGATTCATGAAAGAGCAGCTCTAATCTCAGTCAATTTAAAGTGTTAATGGCATTTTCTGTCATTATTTGAGACGTTAAATCTTTTTGCACTTCGGCACAGACTCTTTGCCAGTTTGAAAGTACTAACTGCACAACACTCTGACCATTGACAGGTACAGGGTCCACAAAGAGCTTTTGGCCAATGGTTAGTGAATTAAAACATTTATTGGCCACAAATAATTATTGCTAAATAAATACATAAATATTTGAAGCACTGTTCAAAAGTCTTGGGATGTGATTTTTTATGTATGAACTCTCTCATGCTCACCAAGGCATTTATTTGACCACAAATGAACATATTAATAAACATAAAACAAAATTAAATATTTTATTTCAGCAAGTGGCAAATTAAATATTAATATCTGTGTTCAATTTTACTATATTTTAAAATGTAATTTACTCCTGTGATGGCTAAGCTCAATTTTCAGCATCATCACTCCAGTCTTCAGAGTTAATGTCATTCAGAAATCATTCGGATATGCTAATTTGGAGCTCAAAAGACATCAACAAACAAAATGTAATTGTAATTTGTGCAGATAGGGGGCAGCACTCGTGGACTTTTCCCCCTTCCCCTCTCTCGCTCTCTGTCCTACTTCGCTTCCATTCGACACACAGATCTTACTGACCCTAAACATTTGAATGGTAGTGTACAAATATTTTTCCTTATGACAAAAATTCCATTTTTTTTTCTAGCGAATCAAGTATTTTTAACTGGGATTTCTTTAAATTAAAGTAGCCTAAACTTCATTCTTACAGTGTTTCTACTTTAGCATTAACCAAACTCTTATTATTTATTTTGCCATTTATATCTACAGACAAATCTTCCATACTCATACAGTGTACATTGATACACCCGTTCAGAGATGAATTCCTCAATGTCATGAGTGAGTGGGTGGTCACTGCTGTGCTCCTGAGGGGCAGGGGGACTCGCCGGATTGAGTTGAGTTGAGAATGCTGAAATGTATGCCGGGCAGCCCAAGGTCTCCACCTTTATGAGGAACAATCCTCCACTTCCACTCAAGTGGCAAAAACACCATTACTGCTCTCCACCAGGGAACAAATGATGGCGCGAATGGATTACAATACCATTGTGTGTGTGTGTGAGCAAGTAGACGGCCAGGGTTTGTCATGCAGCCACAAGGCTACAATGAGACCGACTGCTTACCTGCTCATATTTTGTTGCGTTCTGGGTATCGTTGAACAACCGGAGATTCAGGCGTGCTTTCTCCTGCAGAACATGCTGAAGCTCACTCTCCTGTCAACACACAAACAGAAAGTTTAGAATCTCAGTTTTGTGGTACAAATGTTCAAGTGTGATTGTGCCTAGCAGAAATATTCACAGGCACACACTGATAAACACACGTTTAGACGGCAGGGTGTATTCCTGGTAAGAACAGAGAGTTTCCATCACAGCTGGTGTTGGTCAATGCATTATTCATCTTGTGGAGAGCAAAACAGGGAGAGAGTGTAAGAGAGAGTCAGTAAGAGAGAGACGCTGTGGCCCATCTGTCTGAAAAAAGGACTGACACTGAGGGTTTGGACTAAAGAGATCAGTAGTCAACAGAAATCATGCAGTCTCCACACAACACACTTAGAATAGAGAGTCCATCACTAAACCTGCATGGCCTAAGGGACATTAAAACGTTGTTTCAGAGGAAGAGGAAATTATTATTTATTTTTGTATATTTTTTATATAGCACACATAATACAACAGAATGTTGCCCAAGGTGCTTCACATACAGTAAAAACTAAAACATTATAAAACAATTTACCTACAGTAACATACCATTACATACAGACAGACAGACAGTGGAATATAACCAAAAAAAAAAAAACAAACAAACAAAAAAAAAAAAACAAAGAAGACAAAAACAGAAACAAATATTAGCTATAATTTTTGTAGCAATATAAAAGTATTTACTTTCACTTTCGATCAATTTAATAAATCCTTGCTGAATAAAAATATATTAATTTCTTTAAAGAAATTACTGACTCCAAACTTTTGACTGTTGATAATTTCATTTCATTTAATTTACAACAATAGTGCAGAGTAAAATTTATATAAACGAAATAAATTACAAAGATTACATTATTACATTTTGATGCAATATTATCAAGATTCTGTGGAACTACACAAACCTATAAACTCTTCATGGACTTCATGGATAATTTTAAATAATTGTATCTTTGTAATTTATTTCGTTTTTATAAATTTTACTCTGCACTATTGTTGTAAATGAAATGAAATGAAATTATCAACAGCTAAAAGTTTGGAGTCAGTAATTTCTTTAAAGGAATTAATATTTTTATTCAGCAAGGATTTATTCAATTGATCGAAAGTGAAAGTAAATACTTTTATATTGCTAGAAAAATTATATTTCAAATGAAATTCTATTTTAAACTGTATTCGTCATGTAGAACTGTTTTGACATCATATTTGCATATTAGAATAACTTCCAAGTGATCATGTGAAACTGAGGACTAGAGTGATGAAACATCTGCTTTGCCACTACAGAAAAACAATACATTTTAAAATATGTTAAAATATAAAACAATTTTTATATTTTAAAATTACAATACTACTACTTTTATTAATGTATTTTTAAATCAAAGATATCTTTGTGAGCATAAGTGTTACGTGCTGGCAGGGATAAAGCAGAGAGTGAATCCAATCGCAAGCACTTATTTAATAAAAACAAACAGGTAATTCCAAGGGAACTCGGAACAGGAACACGAAGACCAAAATAGCAAACATAACAACATTTAGAACTCACAAGGACTGGGTATAAATACAGAGGAACGGATGAGTGAAACAAGACACAGCTGGGCAAATTAACTAATGCAGGTGGTAAACATGAACACAAACGAGGAGCGGGAAAACTGTAACTGGACTAAACCAAATACACAATAATGGGGAAACACAAGACAGACAGAAACAAGACATGAACCCACACTGTGACAATAAGAGACTACTTTCAAAAACATTAATAAAAAAAAAACTTTACTGACCGAAAAGTTTTGAACAGTAATTTGACTTTGATTTGTTTTATTTATTACACTTTTACTATATTTCAAATATCACTGTACATACACTGTACATACAATACAAATGTATGTACTGTTCTTGTCGTACCAACGAAGCACACTAAACTGAAATTCAAATATAATAGAGACAGACAGAGAGAAAGTGAGAAGTACAATTAAGTATTGTTGATGAGGCTTTACTCAAGGAAAAGACAATAGAGGAGAGCACATTAGACAGCATGCTGGTTTTATGACTAAATCATCCGTACACCTTTAAATAGCTCTATGTAATTAGGTTACCTTCTAAAATCATTGGTTTATCTTTAATGCTGCACATAATTTGCATACGCCCCCTAACCAAACCCTCATCCCACACAGTTTCAGATTATCCCCTCACTGCAAGAGGAAAACTTAATTACACTCCAACAATATCTACACTACGTGGTGCAACGCTAATGTTGGTTACTCAAGTAATCTTCGAGCAAGAGCCATACATATGAGTGTTCATGTATTCACTTGTGTGTGTGTGTGTGTGTGTGGCCACTGATATGCTGGGGCATTTAAGGAACGTGAAAATATTGTCTTCCTGTTTTCTTTCTACGAAAGAAAAATGTATTGCTCAGAGCTGTGATTCGCAAGCACATATTCCGGCAGATATATATATATATATATATATATGAAGAGTTCAGATGCAAAAGCCTCTAAGTGCCATTTGAAATTTTCTTCTAAAATGATAGTTTTTATCAAGCTTGTATATTTAAGTTCAGTAATTTCACTTAAATGGCAATGAAAATTAGCTATTAATTGTCATTTAAGTGAAATTACTGAACTTAAATATACAAGCTTGATAAAAATTATCATTCTAGAAGAAAATTTCAAATGGCACTTAGAGGCTTTTGCATCTGAACTCTTCATATATATGTTGTTGTTGTAAGTCTAGAGAAAGAAACAAAAATACAGAAAACAAAAAGAAAAAAAAAGAAAAATCTGTAATACTTTACAATAAGTTTTAATTTGTTAACATAAGTTAACTACATTATTTACCATAAATTTTCCACTGTCGGGCCAGTGCAAGCTATGGCTAAAAACGTGCCGTGCAGGGCCAATATCCACAAGTTTCCGAGGGGCGCTCCTGTAAAAAATAAAGTGGGTGAAACTTCCGGTGAGGCGGCGGAAGTAGCATTCCAATGGTATTTTGTGTGTTAGTTAGCGAAGAGGCTAGCTGTTTTTCTGAGAATGATTTTACTATTTAATAGTGCTGCACGTTTTCAAGTTTTTCATTAACCGTTAACCGAGGCCCTTATCGGTTAATACTCGGTTAACCATGTGCGCGCCGCAACCTCGAGATACATAGTTATTTTTTAACACCTTTAATAACTGGTTGGACCCCATTTGAAATGAAATTAATTTATAGAAATAAAACGCAGTGGTAACTTCAGAGCAGTTAAAGTAGGCGCGTTTCCATCACCCTTCAAACTGAAATTGCCAATTGAAAATACGCACATTGGCAACACGTCCATTTCGCAAAAACTCTGTGTCCGCAAATAATAATAATAATAATCATCATCATTATTATTGTAACATTTTATTAGGCTGCATATGGAGAAGACGGTTTTATCCAAAAAAGGAACAAAGCACAAATAAACACAATATTTTCACGTATATCCAGTGTATGTGCTTAGTGTGGAGGCTGCGAGACGCCCATGTGAACACTTGCAGTTTCATTGCAGTTCTTTCAGTGGAAACAACTTAAAATACTCTTTCATTTCTGGTCATACAGAAAATAATAATACATTATTCGCAAATACATTTATTTGCGTAAACTCATAATAACAAGAAAACGTTGTGCTTTAACAAACAGGCGCGCTTCATGATTTCCGTGAACTGAAGCACGAGAACTGAAACAGCCACCGCATTCGAATTTGTTCGTTTTAAATTGGACATTTAAAGCTTTAGTAAGACTAAAGCTTTAAATGTCCAATTTAAAACGAACAAATTCGAATCGAAAGCCAATATCTTCTGACTATGTAATTATGCCTAGCTAATTATGTATTTCCTACCCTATCTCACGACCAATTCGTACGAATTCGTACGAGTGATTAAAAAGTGGCTAATTCGTACTAATTCGTACGACCTCACTCGTGCGAATTCATACGATTTGTCTAAACCCACGTAACGGTTATGTTTAGGGGCGGGGTCAGGGGTAGGTCATTCGTACGAATTCATACGAATTGGCCAATTCGTAAAATATGTACGATTTAGCAAAAATCGTACTAATTTGTACGACTGAGGTCGTATGAATTGTTACGAATTAGCCACCTCGTAAAATTCGTACGAATTCCCGTGAGATCGGGTTGGTATTTCTCTCTAAAGGTGCATCCTGGGATGGAGATTTTTTTTAGCAGAAACTGATTTAGAAAACAATAGTTTATTAATAAACAATTAATGCCTCGTTATTTTATATTATTTTATTATCAGACACATTTATTATATCTTAAAAATTATCTATAAATCCCCTTTCTGTAGGCTGTGGTTACGGCTCTTCTCATTCAGCACTGCGGGGAAAATATCATTTCCAGGTTCTAATTTGGCCTCAGAAAACCAGTAAAATCTTTTTTTTTCCATATTCATTTGTCAAATATTTTAAATGTTTAAAGGGGCAAAAAATCAAACAAATATCTGAAAATTCGTCGATATTATAGCCTAGGCCTATATATTTTTGCGCAGCATTTGACGTTGTCCTACAGTTCAAATGAACATTTTGGAGTTCAACTCTGCGTTTTACAAAATACAACAACCGTTCATTTTTTGTTTTGCAATTAGGCCTACGGATTAAATAAGGGGAAACGAATGAACACAACATTACACTGACCGTTTGGACATATACGAGGCAGAGTTCTTTTTTAAAATTCATAAAAGATACAAGGAATAGCCTAGACAAAAACCTCAAAGAAATGCCACAATCAAGACCGCGGAGCAGAAATGAGGGAGAAACACACACAAACTCTGTGACTTTCCCTGCCATTACCAACGTCCGTTGCCATTATTTTTGGAATGGCTTATCGCGAAAGGAAAAAAAATGTTTAGTCACATAACACCGTTAATGGAAACGCTGTCATTTCACAATATTTTTTTTATCGACAACCAGAAAAAAAAAACGCTAAAGTTTTGTGCAAATATGTATTGACGCCACTTAACCGAGCAAAAAGGTTTCACTCGGTTATGCAATTT